AACGGTGAACAACGTTGAAGTATGAACAGATTTCAACGTTGAAATAACGTTAGATTTAATGTTCGAATTTGAAAGTTTAAAAAACGTTAAGTTCAACGTTGTCACAAACGTTGAAGTTTCAATGTCAATTTTTAACATACTTTAATATAAATATAAAGCAAAGTACTGTAGAGTTTTAACAAAAAATCAAAGACACTATTAAATACTTCAGCTATTTCTAATTTCAAAACTACAGTTCAAGTGTAGATTAAATTAAAACGATTTAAGAAGCCTTTTAGTTTAACAAATTTAAGCTACAATCTGTTCCAATCTACACAACTAGTTCTTCTTCTAGAGCTCTCTTGGTAATGTTTAAAGTGTGTCATGATGGTGTTTGAATACTTCTACTGCTTTTGCAAATAAAATAAGAAGTTAAATATGTTAAAATTGACTTGGTCAATCTCAAATAATATATAATTAATCAACTTAGTGATTTGTTTTATCTTAAAATGCTTATCTTCTAAGATTTACATAATAAAACAGCATATAGAAAACTTTTTAAAAAAAAAGCTATTTAACCCTTCACCTCATATATACGCGAAACAACGCACTTTCGACCCCCCCCCCCCTTTTTAAGGCCTGAAATAGTGAGAAAATGTCCTATTTTTCCCCCAAACACATGTTTCGTTTGAGAAATGTTGTTTAAAAAAAGTGAGGCACTTTTTCGGCGCCGCCCCCTGTCCAAAAGATACTTCAGGGGGTTGCCCCTTCTTTTTGGTGGGGGGGGGGTTGAAGGGGGGGAGTACCCCTGATCGCAAAAGAAAATTTTGGACTTGTGAGAGGCTTTAAATGACTCCAGGTCGATCATAAGGTAAGGTGTAACCAACGCTGAAAAGCCTTTGACTCTATCTCAATCTCTTGAGAAGTTGCAGCACTTTGAAGTAAATTTTGATGGAAAACATCGAGGCAAAATAGTGATTTTTGGCAATTTTCAGATGTCCACTCGTTGCCATGGTAACAGGAAAATTTAACTTGAAAGGGGCTTTTCAGCGAAAATGGCCATTTTTTCACAATATGCTCATGGGTAAAAGGGTTAACTTAAAAAATTATAAAATGTTACAAAAACAACAATTTTTCACCAAAATTAGGTGTAAAAGACCACATGTTTAACATGTAAAAACTAACATTTTGGGGGTGATTCCAAAGTTTTTCATCATTTTTTGTTAGCCCTTTACCCCTCGTTGCCATGGTAACAAAATTTAAGACTGAGCATGTCTTACAAAAGCAATGGTCCAGTCAACATTTTGTGCCAAGTTTTGATTAGTATTGAAGCAATTTTTCATAGTTTTCATAGCAGTTTGAACCTTGTAAAGGAGGCTTTTCAGTGAAAATGGCCATTTTCACAATATGCTCATGGGGGAAAGGGTTAAGTCTTGACCTATGATTTGGTAAGAAAAAACTGCTCCCATCAGTTACGTCAGCATTTTCCCAAGAACAGTCCTTTCCATGTTAAATTTATGGTATAGAAGCTACAGCTGTAATACTTTAAATTTCAGCCAGGACCAGGATCTAGAATATAAAATAAACTTATTATTCCTATATATTCACGGCAATTAAACTTAAAATTTAACACTCAACTTTATTATTTAACCACAAACAGTTTAATCAAATTTATTTTGAAAAATGCAATGGATTTAATGTATTTTTTAAACTAATTCACATTTAATTTTACTATCACTAAGATATAAAAATTAATACAGCTAAATTGACGAATCGTCTTGGGGCGTAAATTATATGGGGCGAACAACACTTCATCTGCTTATAGGTTACAATAATATGATAAATAAATTTCAAAAAGCATGGCTTGTAAAATCATAAATTGCCAAGGACATCAATAAACTTCGCGTAAGGCCAACCCAAACCCAAAACATTCAAAAATTAGGTCGCCTTTTGATACAAAAGTCTAAAATATTAGAAGGAGGTTTTGTATTTCTGTTTTTATTAGTAAAATTACAGTTGTTCATTTTTCATATTTTGCAGATATGGAATGTTCCATCTCGGATATTGTTTGTGATAAATGTGGGAAACATTTCATTCGCGGGATAGGTCTCAAATATTGACCACATGAACAGTCTACACGGCACAGGACTTATAAATGTTGTGGTAAAACATTTTTATAGCCCAGCAAATCGGAAACGTTACGGGTTTTACTGCTGATATTAAGATTGACATTCAAACATAAGTCCTCTAGATTTTATTACCTAGTTTTGTAAAATAAAAAGACCCATTCTAATATACTTTAGGTTGTTTTCTTTTATGCTTTTAGATTAAAAAAAACACACACAACATAATAATAGTTAAATACAGACGCTAATTTGAAAAAAAGTTGGTTTCATAAAAGACTAAGTGATAAAAATGACTTGAATGTCTTTAAAATCTTAATATAACGAATAACATAAAATGCCATACTGTCACGTTTCGATTTGTCACAACATTTACAAAGTCCTGTGCTGAGTAAGCCAGTTTATGTGGTCATTAAGACAAATGTTGCCCAACATTATCTAAACAAACAATACCCGAACTGGAACCGCCCATATCTGCAAATTATGAAAAATGAGAACTGTAATTGTGCTTATACTGAAATCGACCTCCTTCTTATATTTGAGACTTTTATTTTAATTTCTGCGATTAATTCATCTATATCGAAACTTCATTTAATATATTCACGTGAGTATGTATTCTGCTATCCATAGGGGCTTTATTCTATCCAGGACCTTTTGGCGGTATTTTTAATATTATTCAAAAATTCTTTGAACGCTTAAGGCTAAATGCATCAACCATGATTTTTGTTCAATCAATATCTAGGCTATAACCTGCATAGATATTGCCTGCACATAAAATATTGCGTGGGAGTTATCAACAATAAAAGTATGCGTGGGAGTTACCCAAATCATTTTTCTCTCATGTTTTGGAATAGAAAATGACCAGTCAACATTTAACATGCCTAATATTTACATTTTCAAATAAAGAAATTCTATGAACATTTTCTCATTGCTAACTCGACGTAGTTTAATAAAATTCATAAAAAAATACAAATTTTTTCGTGAATGTTACCCGAAATATAATTGTTCACATTGAAAATTTCTGTTGAATTTTTGAGTGTTTGTAAAATCTATGAGCACAGGAGTGGAAACTAAGGTATAGGCGGCAACAATTCTTTATTATGCGTAGGCTGCAGCAGGTCTCGTATGTAAGTTAAAGGGATATAATAAAGAATTACCTTAAAAACACATGTGAAGCGAGGTTTTTAGGCCGCCATATTGTCTGTACGCGTAACCGTAAAAGTCACGTGATTCCCTACCGTGGAAATTGCATCTTTAATTCAAGAGTTATCTCTTTTTTAAGAAATTTTGCTTTTAAAAATGTTATATTTTGGTAACAGGGATGTTTCAAATATTAACTTTAGAGTGTTCTTCAGTCCGTTTGTCTGTCTGTTCATTTAAACTGTTTCCTGTGATCATTTTTAAAGAACTTTTCCAACAAATTTACTTAAAATAGAGAAAAATTGAAACATTAGTGAATGGCCAACGGCCCTTGAGAATGTTGATGGGGTTCTAACCGGTAGGGGACTAATGGATTGCTTGCAATACTATGATAATTGCTTGTTTCTTCATGGATTTACTTCAAATTCAAAATATACATTCACTATCAACACCTACATTATATTTACAGATTTATTTATTTTTATTTTATTTGAAAATTGTTATTTTTTTACTTTTTTTTTACTATAAATGGTATCTTTAAACTTAAAATAATTGTTCTTTGTTACACTCGCACCATGTATGACAATGTTTATAAATCTAGCATCTTCATTTCAAGAGTTATCTCCTCTTTAAGAAATTTGCTTAAAAAAAAATGTTATATTTTGGTAACAGGGATGTTTTTAAAAGTAACTTAAGTCGACTTCAGTCTGTCTGTCTGTTCATAAAAACTATTTCCAGAGATCACTTTTAAAAAAAATTCCAACAAATTTACCGCATTTAACAAATTTAGGACGTTTTTTGAGTTTTTTTATGATAACAGAAACAAAAATTGGGTTCACCATTCTTGTTTTTGAGTTATCTGCCCCTGAAGCAGAATTTTCTACTTATTTGAGGTCATTTCAAGGGCAGATAACTTATACATACTTAAATGAATAATTTTTACTTCTGGATTATGTTTTTTCTTTTTTATTGTTGAGTACAATACATAATAACATGCAATTCCTTATATCGTTTCTGTTAATTTTTTTCAATGAAAATAAAGGAACTTTAAATTCTTGAAAAACAGGCCATTTTTTAAGAGAAAATGCACGGGTTAAAAGAAGAAGTGGAAAAAAACCTATCCACTCTAAATTTGTTTTTGAATTTCTGCATATGGACTAAAACGAACCCAGCCACAAATAGAGCACAATTCAAGTATATTATATTAAGTATATTTGAAGCTCTATGGTAAAGTATATAAGAAGCTTGGTTGCAGTCCCTGCTTCATATGTGCTTTCATCTATTCGATGGAAATGCTAATGGCCAACACATAGGTGAAGCTCATTTGAAGCGCGTTCGAATTATGCTAATTAGGCTTCAACCGTACTTCTTTAAAGTATCTTTTGAGTACCCCTTAAGGAGTACATTTGTAAGGGCATTCAGTGTAATTATGCAGCACACTTGAAGCCCATAAAGAAGTACAGATGAAGTCTCAGTTAAGAAGCATACCTGAAGCTTCTCTTTGAAGCACACATGAAGCATATTGATGAAGTGCAAATTAAGTCCCAGTGAAAAAAGTACTATTGAAGCCCCACTACAAAACTAAAAAGCTCCAAAATCAGTTAACATTTTTAGATTTCTCTTGAATCTTTAAACTTAATGGATTAATTACAATTAAGGTTTTACAGACATCAGGAAATCACAAAATCTCACCTGAGCACTTTTTGTTCAGGTGAGCATTACAGTATCAACTTTCAACTGATAAACAATAATAATTCATTAAATGTTACATCAAAGAAATTTATTCAGTCATTTCACCCACATTAACAAATACGGTTCCATGCATAAAGGTATAACACTATAAAACATCTTATGAGCGTAACATCTATTAAATTTCAATTTATACATGTCCTTCACTTTCAGTCTTTTCCAAACAGATTCACTGGCACAATGCTGGTTTGATTTTATATGATGGGAATACCTCTTCTGCATCCTGAAAAAAATATATTTTAAAATGATTTTTTATTATGTATAAATGCACATATGTTCTAGATTGGTAATCATGCAGCTTTAAAAAAACATAACATTAATACAAAATATCTGCAAAAAAAGTTTGCAAATGTATTAAAATTAAATTTTTCAACTTAAGCAAGCACAAAAATTGCCAGGAAAACAACTCACAGTGTATTTTGTTACTTTTGGGGTCATAATCATCTTAGGACATATAATGTCTTTGTAGCCCAGTCAGATAATGAGTGGCAATGCTTAATTATTCACTTACTTAATGGTTAAATATTCATTCTTTGATATAACTACATCAAATTCTTAAAATGCCTGGGTTTCAAATTTTTGTATCACAATTCTCACCAGTGAAAGCTTTAGGTGCATAAAGCAATAGACATTAAACATGATAAAATCAACTAAGTATCTTATATTTGTAAGTAAATCTAAATTTATTCAAGTCATAATAAGCCTGTTTGTATAAAGCAAACTAATTACCAAGTAAGTTCTGTATTCTTTTGTATCCTTTTCTTCTTTCATTTTCAAACTTCTCACTGACTTTTGGAGAATTTGGTCTAGAAAATAGATATACACATTTATATAATTATTATAATACAATATACATGTATAAAGGTAATCTTATTAAATGTTAAGTCAGTCATATGTTCTTTTTTATATGGAATGCATTTAGATATAAATATATACAAAAGGAAAAGGACATAATTTTTAAATATCATGCTATACAATTGTATCATGCAATACAAGACTATAAAAATTTAAATATTTGAATCTGATCTTATCATTTTAGAGTTTATAACTTGATATTTTTTAAGGATAACCAAATCTAAAAAAAGTTCATTTGCATTTAGTTGATTTTATTGTTTATTGAATTTCAAATATTAATATAGTTCAAATTACTTACCATAAATGTATTCCATAGAATTGGTTATCAATTTGCCTCCATTTTTAACTGCTAAGGAACTTTAACTACACATTTGATGTCCCATTATACATGTTAATTTAGTTTCCGAAAATTGTTGTAAACCTGTATTAGTTGGAATCATTTCAACTAAATAACAATAATCACATTTAACTTTATACTAGCTCATGCACTCATAATAACATATCTTAAAACTAATGTAAGCAGATCCAGACATTCAAACACTTCTGTATAAATTGCCAGGATGAAGATTTGTTCTGGGTATTAGGTTACATGTAGCTAGAGTATTGTAAACTTGCTTTATCACTCACTATTCTCATGTATCAGATAGGTCAGCTTAACATGGGGTATTTTGAAAACTGTTGGAAGGGGTCATAATTTCCACTTGAGGGATCACAGATGTTTGTGATAAGAATATTTGTGTAGAAGAAAACAGTGGTAGATTTACAGAAGGGTGCAGAATAATTGCAGACATGTAATTTAAGTCTTTGAGCATCTTTGAACTATGTTAATATTCATGAAGAAAAATATTTTTTTTTAATTCTTCTTTTTTTATGTTAAGCAGATACTGATGATACCTGTTAATTACAATATATTTAGATGATTCATGTGCAATAATAATTTTTAGAAAGTATTTTTTAATGTCAAAACTGGCTCTGAATTGGTATAATTGACTTCATAATGAATCATATATTTTTGATGGAATTTAATAAATATATTTTTCACCACCATGATCTGTAGAATGTTAAATCCTTATCAAACTAAAATATTGATTTTACACTTATTTACAATTATTTTTTTTATTCATGTATTTTCATTGACTTTATGAATTAATTTCCAAGTCAGAGAACTCTGACAAAAATACAAGTTTTAAAAGCATTTTTGAAGCCCCCTCAAAACAAGTCCTACATTGCTAAGTTTCAAAAGCACAACTTAAGTATACATTTTGTATCAAAATAACTTTCAAACAAACAGTCAAAGTCTGAGAAGTAGCAAATAAGTCTCTAGTACAAAATACTATCAAAATGAAGCACTTAAAAAGCCCTGGTGCTTCAACTGAAGTACACATTCACAAATTCAGAAGCTCATTAGAAGCTGGATGGGGCTTCAGATGAAGTACAGCTGCAGTTGAAGCAAGTACACTTGAAGTCCCTAGTACTTCAGCTGAAGCACAGGTGCTAGTTATAAAAGTTCTTTTAAAGTCCAGAAAAAGCATATTAAAAGTAGGGGACTCTTGTGAAGTGGGGGGCTGCTTTTGTGGCTGGGAAGGTAAGCTTCATGAAAATAAGAAAAAAAATTGTATTGTTTCCCTTCATTGTAAATTATCTGCCCTTGAATTTAACAAAAAAAGTCCAATCTAAGGGCAGATAACTCTAAAATGAGAATGGTGACCCCAATTTTTTTTGCTTAAAATGTTTCTGTTATCATATTCTAACAACATGCAAAGTTTAAAGAAATTTTATTGAACAGTTTTAATTTTGCCTATATGTCTACATGAAAACTCCCTAAAATGTCTTTAAAATAGGGAAAAGTTGAAACATTAGTTATATTCATCGTGAGAAAATTGGACCTTTTGATTATTTGTTGTATAAACATAATTTCCTTAACACATTGCTATGATATAAAAAAAACTTAAAACTCAAAAGATTTAAGTTCATTCATGCCATTTATTCATTCAGTGGTATAATTGAATGGCCAATGGCCCATCAGAATGTTGCTGGGGTTCTATGGGGTAGGGAACTTGAGGATTGCTTGCAATATTATGATAACTGCTGGTTGTTTATTCAAGCCTATTTATATTGAAATGAAAATTATTTCATGTGCGCTGGGAACTAAAACCAATGTCATCAATATTGAGAATTTTTAAGTTACTAGAGCAGATATTTTGTAACTGATTTGCTGTCATGTAAAATAATGAATTTACATGTTATATAAATTAAATGATTTATTAAGTACTTATGTTAAAAATGAACCCTCTATAAGAATTTTGGGACAAACCTTGTACATCATTTATTTAATCAATTTTAGGTGCTACCAACTTTTAACAGGATGTTTGACCTTTCCAGCTTAGCAAAAGCTACCATGGATCTGAAGGCCGACATACAAGATGGCCTTAAAGTTTCATATACAATACGTTGCTGTAAAGAAAAATTTACATGTAAGTGTGATTAGATTTGTGCATGTCAAAAATATATTACTGTGCAGTTGGCTCCGCTTGGAGTATTGTCACTTAAAGAGAAGGGGATAGTAAGCAATATAGGCCTATGAAATATATGCCAGTTTCATACTTTGAGTATTATGTTCCTTATCATTATTAACCACATGTTATGTGACTAGGTTCATAACTCTAGCACCAATATTGCAAGATTATCTCCCCATAAAATTAGATTTTTTTACTTGAAAAATGTAGTTTTTACTATAACTTCTTTAGTTTTAAAGATATTACTTCAAACTTCAAATACTTATTCCTTATCATCAATTAAATCTTATGTGACAATCTTTATAACTCTTGAAGCAATATTATCAGATTAATCTGTCTTTGAACTTAAGACTTTCTTTAAGAAATTTTATAACTTTTTTTTTGCTTTTTAAGGTATATTTCCTATAATTACACACATGTGACAAGGTTCATAACTCTAGCATGACAATTTCCAGAATTATTCCAACTTGAACTTGGAAATTATTTTAACAAATGTTATTTTTTTACTCTTACTTGATACATAATTATACATAATTGATTTTTCTTTTAATAGTTTTGTCTTCCTTACTCTGTCCAGTATTTTATTAGTCAAGCTTGAACTTTTTGAACTTTGTCCAGGGACATAACTCTGAAACAACAATAGGTGTACTTTCCTGTGTCAAAAACCTATGTGGAGAGCATCACCTGGTTCAAACAGGGCTCATGTTTGATTATTTTTATGCCCCCGGGCATTTAGTAATTGAACCGTCCGTCTGTCCTTTTGTTCGTACGAGGTTAACCTAGAATGGCAAGTTGTATTTTCTTAAGTTCTACCTGTACCAATGGCTTCTTAGTTTACACACTTACTTATCATTACAAAGTACATGATCTGGACAAGTTACATAACTCTGGCTTTCATATTTACCAAGTTATTGCCCTTTTCAGCACTTAGAAAATGAAAAATGGTTAACCTGAAACGGCAAGTTGGAAATATCTTAAGATCTATCTATACTAATGGTTTTATAATTTCCACACTTACTTATCAATACAAAGTACATGATATTGCCAAGTTATATAACTGTGTCATCCATATTTCCCAGTTATTTCTCTTTTTTCACTTTGAAAATGGGGCCTTGTCTGGTTAACCTATTTCAGCAAGTTGGATTTATCTTAAATTTCTCCTAATTGCTTAATTTCTTTAATGATATCTTTCATATTTAGTAGGTGGATACCTTTGATGGTCCTCTAATTTTTTGTGGAGTAAGCGGTCTCTAGGGTCAATGTCACTGGTTTAAGAAATAAATGTAAACATTTTTGCTCATACAGCCTTTATTTTTTAGTTGATGTCTTAGTTTAATACAAACATGCCAAGGGAGGTCCTCCTACTTCGGTGTAGTAAGGGGTCATTTGGGACAATGTCAATGTTACCAATGTCAAGGTCACCAATGTTAGAAATAGATTTTTACAGGTGTATTGACCTTACTCTATAGACAGATGTTATTTATAATTGATAGAAACATAACCTTTGATGGAGTTAGTGGTCAGTTGGGTTAAGGTCACCATTGCTAAAAATAGATTTTTACACATTTGCTCATACAGCCTTTATTAAGTGACAGATATATTTTATATTTGGTAGGAAGATAACCTGCATGGTATTCATCCTTTTGATTTGGGTAGGGATCAGTGGGTCAAGGTCACTTGTGCTAAAAATAGATTTTTACACTTTTGCCCATACAGCTTTTATTTATTGACAGATGTATTTCATATTTGGTAGGAAGATAATTTGCATGGATAGAGTAAGGGGTCAGTTGGGTCAAGGTCAAGAGTGCTAAAAATAGATTTTTACACTTTTGCCCATACAGCCTTTATTTATTGACAGATATATTTCATATTTGGTAGGAAGATAACTTACATGGTATTCTTTTTTTGGATAGAGTTAGGGGTCAGTTTGGTCAAGGTGATCTGCAGTGCTCAAAATAGATTTTTTACACTTTTGCTCATACAGCCTTTATTTAATGAAAGATGTATTTTATATTTGGTAGGAAGATAACTTGCATGAAGTTGAATATTTTTCAACTTCACAAGTCAGAGCAATGACTACGCAACTTATATTTTTTACAATTACAAAATGCCATGACTTTGTCAAGCTATATAACTTGTGTTTACAATTTTTTGGCAATTTTTCTGTCCATAACTGAGTGAATGGGTAAACATTTTTTGAAATATTGCTACTGACAAGAATTTGAGCCGTGAGCATTTGTGTTTAACAAACACGTTCTTGTTTAGGCATGATATGTTGTGCTTTTGAATTTCGGGTATAATACTATTTATATATTTCTTTGAAATTTTATCATTTAAAAACCAACAATATTGTTGTTTTCAGTCAGTGTAAATATTCCGTGACAATTGCATAGAGATAAATAATCACCACTCTGTGCCTCAAAATGAGCTTTTTAAGGGCATGACTGGTGACATGACTGGGTTCTGTACTTGAAAGGGAAAGCTGTGCCATATATAATTGTCACTAAGTATTTATATGACATTTGGAGCATAGCTCTTTTGCATGTATCAATATAGATTTTAATATTGATAGGTGAAATAAATTATGTTTTGGACAAATGTTATATATTGGTATCCTCTCTGTTTAAAGATTATTCTCTTATATTTTATGTACTTAAAACAAATTTGCATTTGGGTGTATATTTTACGCCTAATTGGTGCTCTTGTTAAAGATTTATTTAAACCAATCATTTGTTTGCTTTTAGAAAAAGTTAAAAAATTGAGCATTGCCCCCACTTGGTGGTTGCTCTTGTTTTTAGCAGAGATGCTGCCCTCTGGTGAGCGATACTGGATAATCGTAGCTCACTTGTTAAGATGCAAGGAATGCTTATATATTGAGAATCCTTGATTAATAAATAATTGTCTGTATGTACCTCTAATTTCTAGGTCCCAGCACATATGAAGTAAAAGAGTATATTATCACTACAGAGGACAATGGTGTCTTAACTCCCAGTGCTATACTTGGAAAGCTGTATGACAACACGATTGAAAGACACAGAAAACACTTGAGAAATTTGAAAAAATGGGATAAACTTGAAGAACAAATTGATCAAGTCTTCAACGACTTATACTACGATGGTAGCCGTTGGCAATGTAAGTAGTGACTGCAATTAATCTGCTCCACCCATGAGATCCTGCAATCTAGCTTTTGGATACAGTGCATGAGCACTCTTTAACCAGGTTGTCTGAAAATTAAAAATGTTCTTAAACTTCACAGGAATGTTCCTTTGGTGGTAACCTTTAAAAATTGTTCAAAGAATTGAATTCCATGCAGAACCGAAAGAAAAATGTCTTCTTTTAAAAAACCTAAAGAGCTAGAGCTTAGATATTTTGCATGAAACATCTTCTAGTGAGTTTCTGCCATGTTGTTCAATAAAAGCCCTCCCTGTGGGTCATTGATTTTCCTTATATGTATAAAGTAAAAACTTAAAGATATTATTTTAAAAAACCCAAGGAGCTAGATATAAAGCATGAAACATCTTCTAACAGATGCTTATTTAAAAGTAATATAAAAATAATAATTAATTGACGCAGTTAAGTGGTCTTGCCTACTCAAGACTACTCAAAATGTGTTGGTAATATACTACAAGGTATGCTAGTGATAAAATTTCATTACAATGCACTTGACGTGCAAGAGATATTTAAAAGTCCACAAATTTTTGGATAACCCCTCATATTTAAGCCAAGCAATTCTTATATTTTTCAGTCAAAGAAAGAATGAGTCCTGATGAGGCTGAAGATTTCGTTACTGCTAAGAGCAGCTTAATAGAGAGCAGCCTTGAAGATCCCTTTGGATATAGTCCAAAAGAGGAAGGTGATTTGGCAACTTTCTTGAAAGAGGCATTGCACCCAAATGTATCTATGGATAACTGCACTGGCCAAAATTCAATAAGTGAACTTCTGTTAACTATTGCAGATATCATCAAACTTTGAAATTGTACTAATGTGAGAAATATAGGAGGGGGAGCTCGATCAAAATTCGGTGTACCATTTAAAGACGGCTACCTTGATCCTGCCATAAC